TCAAATCCTTTAACAAGCCCTTGCGTTTTTTAATGGTCGCGTTTACAAATTCTGGCTGCGTGTTGTTTGGGCCTGGCGTTTACAAAACACGCGTTTTTTTAACAACTTAGTTGGCAGAGCTGTGACTCCACTCTCCAGTAAAGTGCTACTGAGCTCGGCAGTCATGAGCGGACGTCGTCATCTTGTCGGCTCGTCGCATCGTGGAGTTTGACTTCCGGCCTTTAACTACAGGCGCTCAGTACTCAGGCCCCTCTTGTCTTTTCAGGATCTGGTTTCTTAGGTTGCCGTGTGGCGAGCGGCATTCGAATCAGTACGCATTTCCATAAGTGTGTGTGCATGCGTGCGAGCGAAGCCGGGTCTTTTTACCCTCAACTTGCGTGCGTATTCCATGAAATGCTGTTTCGGCGCTGTTGTAGACCTAAACACACTGTCCCGCAATGTGGTGAAGAATAAGGACCCACCGCTGCGACGGGTTGAGACATGCACCGATGTAGCAATCCAACAGTTCAACAAACCACAAAAACAACAGTCCACGTCCACGTTCGTTATTCTTCAAGAACACGAAAAAAGCACAAAACAAACGATGAAAAATAACAGTGGACATGACACGTGGAACTAGGTGATGCCAACTCGACTAGTAACTAGTAATAAGTGCATCGCTACTAGTAACAAGGGCATAATCAGACCTAAAAACCACACATCGTCTCCGAATAAACAGGAGACGTGAGCAGTGGAACTGGTTTCTCCGAAACAGGGCCCGAATTCCAGCCGGTGCGTTAGGAAACTTGAACCGTCTTCAATCCCTTGCTCGTTAATTAATGGAACACTTTTTGATGGACAGTGGATTTCTATGCATGGTTCTCGCCGAGTGTCTGTTCCGGTAGCTCAGCAACTCCTCGTGGTATTCTCGCGCGCGGAGCATGTCATCCATTCGAGGAAAAGCGGCCCGCAATGCCGCGAAAATGTCTTGAGAGTGCCTGGGCAATCTCTGTATCTCTCTCTCTATTTCTTTCCTTCCTTCTTTCTTTCTTTCTTTCTTTCAAGGGGTGACAGCTTGAATCAAATCTGTTTCAGAAAATGCCATTAGCAATGAATAGGAGATCTTGTTTCCCCACCGTTGAAGTCGTGTGTGTGTAACCCTTCGAATCACAGGGATCCTTTTGGGTTGGAACTTGAACTTTTTCTTTTGCATGTCAGCAGGGGGCACCTGGAGCAGAGATAGGGCAGGTGCCAACGAAGACACCTATCTCTTGCTTGTGCCTGTCGACGTACCTGCTTTCAACACATCGACTCCAATGGTCCTCCCTTGCTTAGGCTGTTTCCAGGCTCATCAGGCGATGTAAAGTGCTGATGCTTTCTGCAGACTTAAGCGCTCGTCGTCACTTTGTCGGTCGCGCGCGCCGGAGCTGGAATTTGAGATTTTGAACACTTTTGGCCTCCTTCCTTTCCACCAGACCTCCAGGACGTTTAGACCCCGTACACGATCTCTCAGGAATATGGTTACCTAGGTTGCCGTGTGGCGAGTGGCCTTCAGTGTGCCTCTCCTCAGTGAGAGCCCAGGGTGACCCCGACGAGTGGCCCCTGTTTGTCGAACGTATCCCCTGCCCGGATACAGAGCAGCTCGCAGCGAGCGTAGGTGGCTTATGGCAAAGTTATTCGCCAAGGCTTGATGGATTATTGCGTTTCAAGAAGGCAGTCTTCGGACAAGCCATTAGGTGACCGCAGCGGTCTCAAGTCGCCCGCCACTTTGGCATGGCACAAGGTGACCAGAGCGGTCAAAGCACTTTTAGGTTCATTCGTAACCTTAGGTGCATACACCGCATGTACATTTAAACGGGGCGAGTCTTCCTAGGTCGTTGTAATGAGGTCTGGCTTCATTGGTTCCCGGCCCCTCCATTGGTTTCCTTTTTCATCGTTTCCCCTTTTGACACACTTTCTTTCCTCCTTTCGTTTCATGTCTTTCCTTGCTTCATGTCCTGTCATCTCACTGCTTTCTTTCTCTTGCGCGCACATCGGTTCGGGCCTTAGTCTGTACGCACACATCTACTGTGCACTTAGGCTTCAGGTCACCCAGGTTCTGATAATGAGGGTTGGCTCACCGTTTGTCTCTGTGCATTTGGTTCTCTCATGTCTTCATCTTTTTGTCCATGCTACGCGCACAAATGCACATTTGTTCGTCACTTAGTTTTTGCCTCCCTTTGGGGAGGCGTCTGTGTGTACCCCTTGGAATCCCAGGGATCCTTTTGGAATTGAGCTTGCCTTGTTTCTTTTTCTTTTTCTTTCTACATGTCAGTAGGGCCTCAGAGCTCCGCAACTTGCCTCCCCCTGAGGGAGGCGCGTGTGTGTGTGTAACCCTTCGAATCACAGGGATCCTGTTGGATTGGAACTTGAACTTTTGCTTTTGCATGTCAGCAGGGGGCGCCTGGAGCAGAGATAGGGCAGGTGCCAACGAAGACACCTATCTCTTGCTTGTGATATCGACGGGAGACGTCCTGTCGACGTACCTGCTTTCAACACATCGACTCCAATGGTCCTCCCTTGCTTAGGCTGTTTCCAGGCTCATCAGGCGATGTAAAGTGCTGATGCTTTCTGCAGACTTAAGCGCTCGTCGTCACTTTGTCGGTCGCGCACGCCGGAGCTGGAATTTGAGATTTTGAACACTTTTGGCCTCCTTCCTTTCCACCAGACCTCCAGGACGTTTAGACCCCGTACACGATCTCTCAGGAATATGGTTACCTAGGTTGCCGTGTGGCGAGTGGCCTTCAGTTCAGTACGCATGTCATTAAGTGTGTTTTTTTTTTTCAGGGAGCTTTGTTGTCTTTCCAGGGTCCCCTCTTGCACTGAGGATTGGTGGCATTGCTATGCACCGCCTACAATGCTCTGCTTCAGGGTCGAGCTGTTATGCAAATCCTTCAAGTGCCGTCGATCCTGGCTCTTTAGCCACAGCCACAGTGTTTGTCAATTCTACGATGCTACATGATGCTACGATCTGCTTTTTTGTTCTTCACGTATCCCCTCCAAAACAAACAGCTAGCTAGCTGAGTTCTCTTCCTGCTTGGACCTCAGAGAGGACATTGTAGCTTTGTAGGAGCAAGCAATAATGAGATAGATCTTCCGTGGCCTCACTCTAAACCTTGTGTAGTCTCATTCTACACACTCATCGCAACACATTCACTTCTACGTCCAGCCTTGCCAAAGAGAGAAACTCCTGTGGCATGTGCTGCTGGCAGAAGGCGGCGACTTCTCGCCCACCGTGGCCGTCAAAGACGCCGTACATGCCCACATGAGGCAAAGGCCCACCCAAATCCTTGGAGTGATACTTTGACCGTGGGCACGGCGTTAGGCCCACACGAACACGTAACACAACATATTGAGTAGGATACTTTTTGTCTGCGCAGTGTTCTTGTGAATCACAGAACTCCCTAGTCTGTGACATGTCAAGTCTCTGGCAAGGTGATATGTGCATCTTCCATAGAGACGCGCCAACCCTGCATTCCAGTGCTTCCCCATGAGACCCCTGGACCGGTACCAAGGTCGGTCTCCTGATGGCATTGGGGAAAGAATGTCACTGAACATCGACCAAGTCTGGTCTGCGTGGCAGAATTCATCTGAAGTGTTGAGAATCCATGCCGGTTTGCAACTTAGGACTTAGGCTTGTATCAGTATCATATTGACATTTGGATCTCACATGTTTCTGTACATCCAAGCGGAGCTGAGCACATCACAGGCTGGGGGTACGGTCTTTGTGGACTGAAAACTCTCTGCTACTACAGGTAGCAAACGTCGGTTCTTAAGTGGACGTTGACTGTACTCAAGCGTTGGCAACTTGGTGCTAGCAGAACTACAAACAACCCGCGGTTCGGACACTTCCGTTCTCCTTCTGCTTGTTGGGCTCAGACAAATAGTTGCCCATGGCGCCAATCGGACGTTTGTGACCTTTTGACACGTGGAAGTTCCTATTATTGGCCTTTGCTCTTTGCTCTCGGTTGCATTCTCCCCTCGAGATGTTTCAGGACACCCTTATTGTGGCTCGATTTCTTGCATGTATTTTGCTCTGCGCTCAGCCCTCAAGCACTGCCAGCTAGCTTCTCACCAAATTGGTGGTGCCGGGAATGGAGTGATGTTGTACTCTTGTGGACCAGCCCAAAGCCTGGGACTCTTCTGCCTACACTGACAAAAGCAATGGCAATGTATCAGGATGTTGCGAAGTGGACCCTGTATGTTTATCTGGCGGACACTCAAGACAATTTATTGATATACAGTACTCCGCCCACAGTGAGGTGTGCAAAGGCTATTCCCGATGCTCAGCTTCGTGGGTGTTGTTCAAGCCGGTTATTCAAGTGTGGGTGAACAGTGAACAGCTCTTGTATGGAGAATCCTTGATGATCTTGATGGGGAACTAGTATTTCTTTGTTTCAAGGGGTTGTCATTCTGCTGCAAGCCTCACACATGCCCACCCTGTCATCAGAGATATCACTGCGGCAACGGCGGCTGTACAACTGCACCCCTGCTTTCGTGGTTTCGACAATGGGGAACAAGGGGGCCACTGAGAGGATAACCAGTGGCCACCAGCCGTGGTTTCTACCAAACAAGCACATGACATCACACAATGATATTGGACTTCTGCCCAGTACAGTCAGTAAACAGTTTTAGTGTAGTACATTTCAAATACCATGATTAATCTCCATCTGCACTGGAGGTGACTACAGGGCTGCCCGAGTCCTGACGTAGAAATCAAACAGCGTTACTCTGCTCCGGTGTGCAAAAGGTGCGTCATTCTGGAGGCCAAACGAGGTGTGCCAGCAAACGAGGTGGACCAGTGGTTTGGAACATTTCAGAACACCTCAGACTTCAAGGTGTCCAATCCCCTCTCGCAATTATTTGGCCATGTTGGGAGGTTCCCAAATGATGTCTGAAACGGATTGTCCAAGGGCCCAAGGGTCACGCCTCTACATCCCTCTACTATCTTCCACTCCCTACTGCCGATGCTTCCATGTTGCAGGTGTCGTGCGGCCACCAGGCCATCGCCACCATTGTTCCCGGGGCCACACAGGATGAGCACTCGGCGGAGGTCGGGATAGGCCTCCTGCGCAGTGGGCCATGGCCCATGGCTGAAGACATGGAAAAGAAAAAGGGGTTGGCTGGCTGGCAGGTTTGCCTCTGTGGGTTGGGCAGTAGGAGCTCAAGCTCTGACTACAAAAGTAACAGGATGTAACAGGACACATGCATGAGGGGCGTCATCGAAAAGAACACTTCCAAGGTCCACCAGAGAAACTGACATGTTGACCATGCCAAAGGAGCTGAAAAATATGTTCGTGGAATTTCCCTTCTTAGGGAGATCAAAACAACCGTTCGTTGTTGCATGGTGGGTTAAACTGCGCTAGCTATATAGCTTGTGAACTGCGACGCCGCGACACATGATTAGATTGTCTTTTTTAATGCTTTTTAAAATTTGAGCCTCAATAGAGCCCTGCCTGTAAACTCCTGGATGTAGGTGCCATCATCAACTCACTCCAAGATGTTCTCTGTTATTTTTTCCTGGTCTCGCCTCACTTGCCCTTTTCAGAAGTTACTTACTTTAAAGCCCTAAGCACCAAATGGGCGTATCCGCCACATCTTCCTACTCCGCCTGTTGAAGCAACCCCACTCAGATCTTTCATTTTAACCGTACGCAAAGCACTAATAACAAGAATGCCTTCACAGCCCCTCAGCACTATGAAAAACATATAAATATAAGCGCGGGCAGCATTATCTGTAGATATTATCTTTATGCCGTATATTTTCCTGAATGCGTAGCGAAGGATTCTCGTTTATCTCTGGGGGTCTGGGGGTAGAGGTGTGTTCACGTGTGTTCGGAGCCGTCCGCAACCGTCTGATTGTCATTCCTAAGGCCCTGCAGTTGAGGGAAGCTTTTGGAGGAGGCTTTGGATGGAATCTGGAAGTGTCAGATTCATGCGACGTAGCGTAGAAACATGCAGAAACGTACAGTAACATGTTGAAGTGAGCAGGTGCAGCCTTTTGTGAGGTCAGGACGCGCGGTCGCTGTGCCGTTGGGATTCGCTTGTCAGGCCTTGCCTCGAAGCTGTGCTTTGGTGCGTGCTCCGAAAGCGTCGAAGTCATTCCAAACGTGTGTGGCGCAAATTTTCTGAAGACAAGCAAATGTGACGTGGTAACTTTTTATGGCAAGTGCAGCACTTTGTGTTGTTGGAGGTGTGGAAGTTGAATTTCGTGGCAGGCGCAGGGAATCGTGAGGTTGGGGCACTTGGTGGAGGTGAATGTCGTCGGTGCGGTTGTGAGGGCTGGAATTGCGAAACTGCGCGGCTTGATGTGCCCTCTCTGATGAGACTTCCGCTTCACTTTGGAGGGTCTCGCACGACATACTCCTTTAGGAAAGTTCTCAGTTGTAGGGGCGTCTCGCATGAAACGCTAGCTTTGGAGACTTGACGCGTGACTTTTGGACGGGTCTCTCTTACGAAACGCTCCTTTTGGAGACTTGACGTGTGACTTTTGGAGGAAGCCTCGTGCGAACCGCTCGTTCTGGATTTGACGCGTGACTTTTTTCGGGCAAGTCTCGTGCGAAACGCTCGTTTTGGAGATTTGGCTCCATCCTGTTTGTCTGCTATGTTTGCCTTTCAGACTTGACATGACTTGACCAACCCTTGGTAGAAACAATTCCAAGGCGGAGCAAGCTCGCTCCACCACGGCGCTGGCCACGGAGAGGCCCGCGAGCTCCATGAGCTGGTCGACTGAGAAGCCTCCGAGGTCAACGTGTACTTCGTGGATCTCATGTACGATCTGGTGCCGGTTCCTGTTGTGGTATACCTAATGGCACACATGAAGCCTAAAGCTGGTAGGGTATTCCCGGGGCCCTGAAGGGTGGTGAAGCTAGGTGAATTAGTGAGGGTGACGGTTAAATGTATCCAAACCTGCCCAAAAACCTTCATCGATTTCCTTGCCAGGACTAGAGGCTAGCGATTAGCCAATTGTCAAACACACATATATTATATATTATAACCAATCTTGAAATTTGAACCTTAAACATCCTTGAACCCCGGTGATTTGTGCAGGGCCTGGCGTTGACATCAGCTCCTCGTCAATGGCAATGGCCTCCTCCTGCCCCAGCAGGGTGATCTGACCTCGAGACAAAACACCCAACCGCTCAGAAAGTGCTCTTGAAACACAGCATTTGGAGCAGCGCGAGCTAGGTGCTTGGCTAGGGGCAGGTGTAGCCTGAATTGAAAAGAGGCAGGTGCAGGGGCAGGGCATGAATGACAGAAGTAAAAGATAGAAGGATTCCTGACAGTTCACTTGCAACTGGACGTTTCCAGAACGCGGCAGGGACTCTTTGCTCTTTGATTCGGGCAGTTCGGGACATGAACATGCTTTATGGGAGAAAGACACGACATCTGGACCATCAAAAAGGCTTCTCTTGACAAACTCTCTGTGCCCAACCCAACCCGGCCTCCCTATAGTGCCGGTTGGTGCGACCACCCACCACTGAACAACAAATCTTGAGATCTAGAGAGAAGGTTCACGAATGTTCCACACGAGTCTGCTGTCGATTTGTTTGCAAAGCAAGTTGCCCTTGTAATCCTGGTTTCCGTAGCTTTGGTATATCCCACTACCAGTAACAGTGGATGATGACGGTTAGTTTCCTTTCTCAAAAATAGTGATCACCTTTTACCTGCTGTTACAGGTCATGGGACACACCCTATCCATAGCCGCATTGTACTTCCACCAGAACCAAAAGAACCAAATAATCATTGTAAACAACCTTCAATAAAACAAACACTGCACCAAGCGTCCTGGAACTACAAGTACATCATCCAGCTGCCTGCGTTGGTGCTGCTGCGAAGGTCAACAGCGGGCGCCGTGCCAAATGGATTGCTGCGCGGCTTCCTGGGATTTGGCAAAGTGGTACATGTTGTCCCTGGCGTCTTGAGAATCGCGCGTTGCGACAAGGCTTCATCGCTTGCCACCTATCGGCATCTTGGCATCCAGCAACAAGGAGCAAACATGCCGGTCTGAGGCGCGAAAGGCGCGAAAGGCTGAACGCCTGATGATTGGATGAAGTTCTTGTGTGCAGCCTGAAGCTTTTGTTCCATTATAATCCAGAACATCCAGTGATGGATTTAATACAACCTGGTAACCATCATCCACCACTACTAATTAGTTCCTGGACACTCCAATTGGATTGTTTTTTGTGAGTCAGTCCACATTTTGACCCTTTTTGGGTTTGGAAGCCTTCCAATTTCACGCCCAGCGTCCCAGGCTGCACATGGCCAGTGCTGCGAAGATCCGCAGCCCACGTCTGGGGCGAAGGCCTAAGGCCCGCCAGGCCTCAATGGAGAGATCTAGGAGCTGGAGGAATTTTGGGGCACCTGGTGATGTTGCTGTGGGACCGCCCTTTGCTATAAAATGATCGGGATCTCTGCACGCCAGCGATTTTTGCGACGGAAATACAGGAGAACACCATGCGGCTGTGCACTGTGCACCTCTTCATACCTGTTCATGGGTACGGCTCCCTGACTACTTCAGACCTTTTCAAGCCCTGGGCGACGGCCTGCAACGCCCGCATGGCACCAAGATATGACTTTAGCTCGTGCGCCGGTGCGCCCAGAAGGGCTATGTCTATGTTATAACAGCCTCCATGAAACACCTGCAAACAACACAATTCAGCGGACTCTGTTGCCTGCGGACATGATTGTTTTTATGTCAAGCTCGCGGTCATAGTGGTAACTCATGAGTGGATACTCCTCTGAAGTCGCAGTGTTTCTGACTGCAGGTGTATGTTGCCAAACTTTGAAAGCAACTGAGACGCTCAGCCAGTCATGTGCAGTCATGGAAGGCAGGAAGCCAGCTCTTCAAGAGGGTGCAAAACTCTCCCGCAATGTAGAAAACAAACAACTAGTAAAAACTGTTCGGACTGGATCCTGATGAAAGAGGAGCACCCACAGTACAGGCTGCAAAAGAACATCCTCCAAGAGCACTCTAGACATTTCCAAATCCATTTCTTTTGTTAGCAGGTACAGGGTACGCTTCTGTCGATTTGGCCTGTGAGAAAGGCGAGGGGATCTCTCGCGGCTCTTCTCTTTTGACCCAAAGCTTTGATGCGATCTTTTGGTGCCATCTCTGAGCGTGGAAGGTCAGCAAAGTGCCGCATACTGCACTCTCTCTCTCTCTCTCTATATATATACTTGAGCGGGGAAACACGAAAGGTAGAGACGGACCGAGTAGCTGTCGGGACCTTTTCTGGTGAGGGACTGTCTCCGGTGTTTCAGGAACGTCATGGATGAAACCAACAAAGCCAGAGAGCACAAGAAGGCATAAGAAGGCTCAAGAGGAACTCCGTTGCGGTCAGATTGCGCCACACGGCTCTGCAGAGAGGCTGCGTTGCGTCGACGCTCGTTTGTGTCAGGTGTGTGAAAGCAGGCGCGCGTAAAAGTCGCAATGCGTAAACGCTCGCATGTGTACCAGCTATGGTCCCACAGCTGCACGCACTGTGTCAGGATTACAGGCCTGCACGCGTTGCGTCGAAGCCGCAGTGACTCAGTGACCAACCCCCTTGTAAGGATAGTGCTGGAGGGGTGCGGCCGGTACTGCCAGGGATGGACGTCACGCTATGGTGGGTGTGCTCCACGATGCGGTAAGATTTCGCCACGCTAGGGTATAAGGCTGAGTCGAATGGTGTTCCGCGACGCGAGGGGTTTCTCCACAGGGCTTTGCAAAGAGGCTGCGTTGCATCGATGCTCGTTGGTGTCGAGCAATATGGTCTGTGAATGCAGTACGCGCTGTGTTAGGCTGCCGGGCGCGCACGCGCGGCATCGAAGCTGCATTGCGCGACCTCATTGCGCAGGGTTCGTGCTGTATTGCGCAACCTCATGGCCAGCGTCGTACTGCTGTGACTGTTAAGCGCATGACTTCACCGAGGGGACGGGGAGGGGAGGGGAGGGG